TTTGTTTTGGCGTAAGGTAACACAAATAGTCTGCCACTTGAGGTTGTAGAAGCCTCTCTCTTGCTGTAAACCCTTTCTTTGTTGCATAATTTTCGAAACTGTGCCACTTTGTCGCTTGTATTGCTGGTCGAGTTGAGTAACGAGCAAACAAGCGTGACTGCTTTTACGCCCTGGCAGAATATCCTCTTGTTTAAACACATTTGTATACAGTCCATACGTGTAGTTGGAACATTGCTGGGTTTCCGTGCACTTGTTTGGTGTGAGGATGAATTAACAGGTTTGCGCGCTTGGGTAGCTCCAGTGTTGGTTGACCGATTTCTTGAATTAGTATGGGAAACCACGTTCTGGCCGGCCAGTAGGGCTGCACCAAAGTGAGTTGTAGGCTCTGTGTTTGTCTGATTTTCTGTAATACTTGAGGTATTATTGCTGGCGGGCGGAAACGCTGCATCGCATTGAGGCCTTCCCATGATAGACTTAGAGTCCGCTTGCCAAAGCTTGGGGTCTGGGACTGGTGACACGTAATGTCGGTAGCTGATTGTTGAATCGCGTGGCGAATAGGTCTGTCTTAGCGGCGCCTAATTGCTTGATTATCTGTGCAAAATTTCCTGTTGATCATCCACTCTGCCGGTGATGGTAGATGAGGCCGAGAGAGAGCGCCTGCTAGTATATTTCTGGCTCCGGAATGTGCACTGCTCTGACATGTAGATTTAGATCTTGTATTAAATCGAACAGTTGAAAGCTTAGGTTCAAAAGGTTCATCGATCTCGTTGAGCCTTTGCTTGTTTATGTAGAACGCCACTGTCGAATTGTCTGTATGGATCATTAGGCTGCATTTTGTAGAAATGTGCTCCAATGTAGAATGGCGTTGATTACAGCTTTCATTTCTAGACTGTTTATATGGAGTTTGCATTCTTGCCGATTCCATAATCCTGATATCGTGCGTGGTTGGTGAGATGAGCTCCCAACCTTGGAGTGACGCTACATACAGATGGGTTTTGTATTCCTGCTCTGCTAAACAAACCCTTAGACATCTCGATTTCTTGGTCCACCATAGTAGATGCGGTCTGAGATGTTTCGGTAGACTGAATGGTTGTACATCGCTGAGATGTGCGTGATGAGGACCTGTAGGGGACGAAACTCAAGTAATCTGCCTGTGACAGTCATGTCTTGGGCTGATGAGAAGACCTAGTAGGCTCTGCCATTGTCGCGAAAGTGGTAACGGAGAGAGTAGAGCTGGTGGAATGGTCTGCTGTATCTTGAGCCAACGGTCTTCTGGTACCATAATACGGTTTGATTTGTGATGAATCAATACCTAGGAACTGCAGGTCTTGGCGATGGTACTAGGTCCGACTTTAGCGTAAGTTTACTAACCAACCTAGTTGTGTTAGTAGCTTTATGATGTAATTTAACTGTAGTTTGAGACGCGGTGGATCTTGATCTACTTGTATCCCGTCGTCGAGGTAAAACGCGACCAAGCGAGCCCCTTGACGATGTAGAAATTTGATAATCGGTTTCCCGTTATCCTCGCGGAATAGCCAGGGGCTGATGATATTCGAATGGGAGAGTACTTTCCACTGGTAATGTAGCCCTTCTAGAGTAAATCGTAGGTATTTCCTGGAATCGGGATGAATGGGGATGTGCAGGTAGGCATCCTGTAGATCTATGCTGCCCATGTAGTCCATAGGACGAATCATCTGGCGAACTGAGGTAAATGTATCATGCTAAACTTCGGTGGTTTTGCGTGATAGTTCTTGTTGAAAAAGCTCATGTTGTAGATGAGTCTGTATTTCTCCGCGGAGTTTTCTTGGGAACTAGGAAAACTGGGGAGTAGAAACCTGGTTCGGCGCTTGCTTGATCTATTACTTCTATGGCCTGTTTGGATAGGAGTGATGAAACAGCCTCTTATCTTTGGTAGTTGTTGCTTTGTAAATCGAACCTGGGGGTTTGATTGTCAGCCGAGGCTTGGCCTGTAGAGGGATACTGAAATCCGTTGAAGAATGTTGGAGACGTAAGCGGGTCTTGCAATATTCCCCAGTTTTCCCAGTGTAGTTGGAGGCGTCCACCCACTTGAGCTGGCTGTAGTGGAACGGCTGGGGTGGAAGACTCCAGTCGTTCCAACCTGTGTTTCAGCGCCTATAATTGCGGGAACCTCTGGGTGTCCTGCCTCTTCCTGATCCTCCTCTATAGTTGCCATATGGGCTTAATTAAAAGAATCTTTGCACCTCTAGAGCTGGCTATCTTCCTGTCTCTTGCTCTTTTGTAGGCCCGTGAACTTAGATCTGCCTGAGTATCTTTGTGTCTCGACGAATGACGCTGGCTAGTGTGTCCATCGATCTAATCATAAGGACTTCCCTGGAATCCTTAGAGACTTCCTTGGCTTTTACTTTGTCGATTTCTCCACAAAGATGGATGTTGTCGACCACGGGCTGTATAAAGTGGGGCTGTAAAGTTCTCCCCAATTACAGGAGGCGAGGAGGCCTTGACGACGAGCTAAAGGTCAGTGCTGCTGAAACAGATGTAAGATGATCCGTTAAAAACTGCTGATCTTTCTTTGCATAAGTAAGGCAGAATAAATCATTCTATCATCTTCCGTCGTGGAATCCCCGAATCTAGTAATAAGAGTCTCATTGATCGTCCTAGATCTATTTAACCCAAAGAACATACGCCTCGTCATGGTTTCTATATGAGCCAACTGCGATCATCCATCTTGTAAATCTTGTTCTTTACATCACGCTGATGATCTTATAGTTCTCATCGATGTCCTGGGCCTTGTAGAAGGAGTCCATGTTATGCGTGGAGAACTTCTTGGCTTGAAAGTTGGGCAGATGTGGTGTTTGAACTTTCAGTAGCTTTCTGGAAAGCTGCATCTAGATTCTGTGGCACTGCCGCAATCGGTCGATCGGGGTAGAGTGATTGCATCTGGATCATCTTCCTTCATCAAATACGCCTGGCGCTTGTATTGCCACTTTTAGATGGTGATGTGAGATCTAGGTTATTGACCATCCAATACCGTATTCTCTGCATCAGAAAATATGATTCCTCCATCATCCTCAAAACCATCATCATTAACAAATTGTAGATGCTCTTCAGGACTGGCGTAGCTGTCTGTATATCTGATGAGGTTTTGTGGCGATCTAGTTGACTTGTGCTTTCTATGTGGAGATCTGACGGGTGATCGACCTGGTGATGAACGGCGGTGAGATCGCCTATGGATGATCTTCTCGGAGACTTGTGAGGTGAATGTTGATAGCTTCACGGAAGCTCTTCGGCAGTCCCTCGATGTTCTTCTAGATGATGAGGATCTGAATCATATGTCCTTCGCGAATGCCTTCGCGAAGCTTCATTTATGATCCCGTCCGGGGATCGATGATATGACCTTCGCATGAAGGCCTCCGTGGATGTCTGATGGTCTGAGTCCATATCTAGAGATGAAATCGAAGATGGTGATGACCTCTCCGCCTTCGCTAAGGCCTCGCCGAGGCTGTACATCTAGGGTCCTTCGCCAAGGTGGTGCGGGACTTCCTTCGCCGAAGGTGACATCATCTTGGCTGCTACGCTGACGGGGGTGCCTCTGGGGTGCTGTCTACGTTGGAGCCTTCGCTGGGACTTCGGACCCTGCTTGCGCGTAGTTTGTAGTGGTCCTCCATGATGTTCATAATCTGCCGCATCATGTCTTCTGGGATGATCTGACGGTGTCGCCGGGCGCCTTTTTCTGCGATGGGGTTCACATCAATGGCGCCTGGCGCCGGTGTAGAGGCATCAGGCTGCATGGTGATCTCTGCAGAAGTCACAGTCGCTGACACCGGTCGCTTCTTCTGCCGTAAGTCGGGGATGATTATCGGCTGATCATCGAGGCCCAATTCTGCTGCTGGAACGATCTCGGCTGAGAAAGTTCTTGCTGTCTTCGTGAGATTTCCCTTTGGAAGTCCTGCGCTGCCCTGGGTGTCCTCAATCTGCGTTGAGACGACGATGAGGCCCTCTTAGACTTGGTCTGCAATGACGGGATGTCTGGGGAGGCCGGCCGCTTTCTTCGAGGTAACGGACTGCGTCCCCACGTTCCTCTACCGAAGGGTCTCTAGCAGAACACCAGACGGGGAGAGGGTCGATCGCTAGCAGCTGACTGGATGGAATATCTGGACTCTCTGCCATGTTTTGCCCTTGTTTTGCGTGATCTATCTGCAGCACGCCTTAAGACGCAAAGATGATATTTTATTAAATGCAGAATGAGATAAATTAATGCAGTAACTGCAACGTGAATTAAACCACACGCGCAGGAGAACAACTAGGGCATATTACATGTGGATCGGGAGGCAGAAAACGTAATCTACAAATCGCACAGATTTTCATCAACGTAAAGCTAGCTGAACAATCACGTAATACACGTGAATAAACAGTAGAAATAATGATAATTAATCAATACAAATAGTAAAGGATACTAGCTATACCTCTATAGAAACCTATGAGAGGTAAAAACTAAGAGATTATCAAAGGATATGGTGTGTAAGGAGACACGAGGCGCTCTCACATCCTGCTCACTGGGCGAAGAAGGAGAGAGTGGAGCACATGGCCAGAGGGTGGCGACACCTTTCCCGCCAGGGGAAACAAAGGGGAGCAACTCGTGGTGAGTACCAATTAGTGATTTTATTTTGAAGGGAGCTTCAAATAAGGAGATACAAGTGTTCCACTATGTTCGCAAGAAGAAGAAGACAAGCAAAAGAGCATGAGTCAGGATAAGGAAAAATTAATTGTTTTTTCATGACCCCCGACTGTATTGTACTGGGAAGCATTTCGAATTGGGGGGTCATCTAAAAAAAATAATTTTTTAAATCTTTAATCCTCACAAAGACAGGAGGGCCTGTGGACTGATTTTGAAACTCTGACATATCATCACTCAAATAAATGCTTAAATGATTAGTATAATAATAGTTTGGTGAGTGTAGTTTTACGCCGCACTCAGCAATATTAAGTATAATAACAGAAAATAACACCAACACTACAGAAATAATATCAACTACTCTGAAAAAATAATAAGTCTATACAAGTCCTTGTTTAACAACATCTCTGACGGTATTTCAATTTTTTTTTCCACAGCATGGAAGCATGGCCTGAGACAAAAGCCTCTTGTGACGAAAGTTTGGCAGTAAATTATAAAACAGAAACAATTAAAACACTTGCATCTCTACCCCATGATTCACATCCATCAGAAGGTCACGTCCATCTTTAACAACCTGTTTAAAAACATTTAACAAATAATATCTCCCAGCTTACATAATTGAAAATTTGGATGCAAAATCTAACAATTAATTGTTGTAGATATTGACACCCATCCGGTGGGTAACCTAGCAACACTTTGAAACACTCTTGTCACCATGGTCACCATGATCTAGGGCTGGTTGTCCATCATGCAGCAAGCATGTGGCTGAGAGATGGTACTACAGAGGTATTATGGTAAATGTTCATTTGAGTTCGTCTTGCTTCATCAGTTTCTCCCTAACCCTTGTCAAGGCAAACCCCAGGTAGTTGGTCCCCTTCCAACTCCTCTCATCCCAGGCGTTGACGTGGTCCTCCGCGTACCCTATCCCCCATATAGCATCCGCCGGACTGGCCTCTACCAGAGTCTTGGGGTATGTCGCGAATAACTGCTTCTTCAGGCCCTCATTCTGACCAAACTGAAACATAGTGGAAGAAATTGTATATGCATTACTTTAAAGCAACTGAAACATAGTGGAAGAAATTGTATATGCATTACTTTAAAGCCTCTTTTCATCATTGTTTGTTGTTTAACACCTCACTCAGTAATATTAGAGCCATGCTGTGGCGGTTTGTAAATAACTGAGCTTCGACCAGACAATCAAATGATTAGCAGCATGAGCATTGATCTAAGCAATTGGGATACAATGACATGTGTCAATCAACTCAGTGAGCCTGACCACCTGATCATCTTAGTTGCAGCATAAAACTAAACTCACTCTTTCCTTCTTTGCTTTTCAAACCAAGTCATGACAGACACAGGGGCATGTAACTAATACCCAACCTTGTCTGCATGTTTGTTTTCGTAGAGCATTAGATAGATGGTCGGGTGGGGACTTGTGGTTATAGACATGTATATCATGAATCTTGTGGTGTAAGGGAGATAACTCTCATTCCTGAGAATAACTGAGTAGAATGAATAAAGATCACTGAAATTAAGTATAATTAGGCACCTTGGCTTCATTCGCCTCCTCTACGATTCTGTGGCAGTTATTCTTCCATGTTTTATCATCCCAGTTCTTCACTTTCCGACCAAGGGACTTCTGTTGTTTAGGATCCTGTGTCTTGAGAACTTTTGCAGCATTTTCCTCATCAGCAAACAGCACTTGAACAAAAATGTCCAGATATTAATACCAACAATCGAACCATCATTACAAAACATGTACAATTTGAATAGTTGTCATGACATTTTATTCTGATGACTTAGTTAATAAAGGTGAACATGTACTACTTGACAAACCACTTATATTACCATGCCAAACACTGTAAGGGATCTAACAGTTATGACAAAAACCCTACATCATGAGTAGTCTAAAGGTCTCAGTCTGACTGTTGGATTCACCCTAACACCTTGTTTGATCGTTGTTTAATGCTACATATAGCACACCATCCCATATGTTTTTAGAATGGCGTCTGTGTATCTGTTGTTTCAGGAGCAGATCTTGAAAAGCATACAATAATTGTACACCAAACTGAGTCCATGGATAGGTCTAGTGGAATTTGTGTACTTTGAATTGTATAATTTTTTCAAGTTTCCATGGCTACAACAGGCTGGAAATGGTGACAGTACTGGAGCAGATCTTGAAAGACGTTCTATATTTCTTCACCAAACTTGGAGACCGCCGCTATGTACCATGGGGTATAGCTGGAATATTGCTCAGTGAGGCGTAAAACTGAACTCACTCACCAAATTGGGCAATGCACACTTCTTTTGATGATATGGGGACATAAAACAAATGTTTTAAGTTATCATGGTAACAAGAATCAATTATTTATTTCCACATGTATTTACCATTGAGGGGTAGATCTACTGTCTATCTATGACTAATTAGTCCTTTTCGTTAAAGTTCGCCTACCTGCTTTCTGGTACATCATGTACTGCTCAGCACAGTTGTACTTCTGACCATTCACCTCGAAACTTGCTGGGTACCACTGACTGAAGGGAGAATGAATTTTCCAGAAGAATTCGTATTTTTGTTTTGCTTCTTCGAGAGATGTTGCTCCACGAGTGCTTTCCTCGGCCCTTGGGCTGGCAGACTGTTTTTCGTTAGTAGGGTTCATGTCTGCAGTCGACATCGCTAACGACGTTCGGAATGGAAAGCAAACGTCACTTTTTATATACCCATTTGTACAAAGAAATAGATTTCGCAACGCAGTGTTATACATGAATCATTTTAGTTCGTGATTTCGTTGCAATCCCGGAAGTGTTTATAAATAATCTCTATTTTGTGATGTTTTCGGTACCGACAAGAATTCCATACGCTATGCTATAGGGTTCGCTTGTATGATTTGCATAGTGTACAAGTAATGTGTGGAGTAAGAGTAGCGACATCCGTGGCCGCTAGGGGGGGCGCGCGAGAATGAGCGTCAATGGTACAGGGTGGAGTAAGCTAGGCCCCGTCTCGCATGTCGCAATATACTGAAAAAATACTGACGCATAAAACCTAAACTGTAAATGAAGACCTAAAATAACTGTATCTAAGAATTGGCAACAAAACAAAGGCGTGTCTGCTGATGAGGTTGTCATATTTCGTGTTAAAACGATCATTTCCCGCGATCTTGTTTCGACGCTCAGGAGGGTGCCCTCAATTAACGCGTAATTGCAATAAATAGAGAGGGTGTCAAGCTATTATGGAAAGATCTGTACATTTCTAGACTCATTATTTTTTTTTTAAAGTGATGAAATAATTAAACTGCCTGTGTTTCAAGCTTTTTTATTGAAGATAAAATTGTTAGTTTCTAAGGATTTTCATTTCTTTATTAGGGGTTGACAAGGAAACCAAGGTGAGACTTTTTTCACCACAAGGCCAGAAGATACTACTTGGGTACAACAAAAACACACATACTGCTTGTTCATATACTGTACAGTTACCGACTCTGTCTAAACATGTGCACATAACACCTCGTGGGAATGCTTGATTGTGGCCCTGATGGGAATGCTTGATTGTGGTGCCTTATGGAATGCTTGATTGCGGAGCTGATGGGAATGCTTGATTGTGGTGCTAATGAAACTGCTTGATTGTGGTGCTAATGGGAATGCTTGATTGTGGTGTCAATGGGAATGCTTGATTGTAGTGTTGATGGGAATGCATGATCGTGGTGCTAATGAAACTGCTTGATTGTGGTGCTAATGGGAATGCTTGATTGTGGTGCCTTATGGAATGCTTGATTGCGGCGCTGATGGGAATGCTTGATTGTGGTGTCAATGGGAATGCTTGAGTGTAGTATTGATTGGAATGCTTGATTGTGGTGCTAATGGGAATGCTTGGATGCGGTGCTGACGGGAATGCTTGATTGTGGCGCCTCATGGGCAGCTTGATTGTGGTGTTGATGGGAATGCCTGATCATTATTTTGTTGTCACTTTTTGCTATTTTTTACGAGGGGGAACCACTTGCCGGTAGAACAGCCAGGTGTGCGAGTTGCACGTGTGACATTGAAATTTCACTACACACGCCTGTTAATTATCTGTCTGTTCTACCAGGAAGTTGTGCCCCTCGCAAAAATAGCAAAAGGTTACAACAAAATAAGGATCGTTTGTTAAACAACTGTTTTATTCGGGTGTCCAAAATTATGAGACAAATCTTCAGAGTTGGTCTGTCGATTTCATGTGACTGTGCAAAATTTGGTTTTGTTGCAATTATTAGATTTTGTGTTAGTGAGCATCTCATCGGTCTCAAATGAAATCAAACGGACTGTAAGGACCCTTGCTCCCTCTAGATACGCAGCGAATGGGACTTCAGCCATGAAGCGCTGCCTTGACAAATCCACCAAGAACGTTCCAGAGAATATGAAGACTCCCCAACAGTGCATCCTTCTACATTACCCAGAGTGTCAGACTGTGCTCCCGGTGGAGAACCTGGACACTCTACTGATCTGCGCCAAGAGATCAGAGGTACCAAACCACGGAAACCAAGGACAATGGGGTGCCTGACGACAGTGTACTTGGGATGCAAGCAAGACATTTCAAAGGCGAGGTCCGCATATTTGCTGCCCATGGTGACTTGACAAAATACTAACTGTTCACCTGTCTTTGAATCTGGAGTTATGTTCTGCTAATATTCACATTTAATACGCGAGTAATGAGTGAAAAATTAAAAAAAAGTCCAATCTTTAAATTCTCAATAATTTCTGGTTGTACTGTCAAGTACTGTCGGAAATAGAAAATATACCCGTTTTTTCGCATTTATATCTACAATTTATGTAGTTAATATGTGAAAGTGTGAAATACCTGCTAAACTAAGGTCGGCCTAACTAGAGTCTCAGTGGTAGGGAGATAGAAAACGTAGACAAAGGACTTTACTGAGGAGAGATTAGTGCAGAAATGAGCAATGCGGGGGTTTTTCTAAGTCCAAAGCGACTTATTTGGAACAGACCATGACTTTCTGCAAAATAAGTGTGTGAGAATATTGTATTACGAACGACACTTTTTAAATGCCCATTTCAAAATTAAACTTAGCTTAATTATAAACGATAGCTGACCTAAACAATAATAACTTTAATACTGAAACTATTAAGGATGTAGCTACAACGGAGTCTCACTATATCACTATAATAACAAACAGGTAGGAGCGGTCGTCTCAATCGGTCTCAGGACGGGTATCCCAGACGGCGGTTGGGATCGGGCCGGGGGATAGATATTTCACCAGAGATAAGATAAACTGGGGAAGCAAACGGCATGTCATAACAATTTACAAATAATACCCATGCCACCTATATATTTTGAGACATTTAATACGATGGCTGATTAAAGCTTTCCTGTGGGTATCATACTATTTTGCATAGCTCAACATAAACTTTATGAAAGGAAGACACATAAGATATTAATCGAAAGATGAGTGAGAGAGTTTAGTTTTACGCCGCACTCAGCAATATTCCAGCTATATGGCGGCGGTCTGTAAATAATCCAGTCTGGACCAGACAGTCCAGTGATCAACAGCATGAGCATCGATCTGCGCAATTGGGAACCGATGACGTGTCAACCAAGTCAGCGAGCCTGACCACCCGATCCCGTTAGTCGCCTCTTACGACAAGCATAGTCGCCTTTTGTGGCAAGCATGGGTTGCTGAAGACCTATTATACTTTGGATCTTCACGGGTCAATCGAAAGATAAACATATTCAACACACATGAGAAAGCATAATATAGCTTTGAGATGACCCCTTCTGCCCGTAGGCAACACATGCATTTCATGCCAGGCGAGTCATACCTGGCTGAGCGACCTAATTGCCATCTCTAGTCATGATCTATTGTTTTCAGCATCTATTGGTATTTTTTCTAAGTTTTGCCCAATTTTACAAGTAAACATGCTTTTCTGGTTATCCTATTACGCATTCCACTGAACGCTCAGTTAGGCCGATGCTGGTTATTTCGACATATGCTATTTGCAATTGTGTAAATTTTAGGGATATACAGAGTAACAGCCTAAAAACATTTTTTTTCTATTTCCGACAGTACTTTAGGCCATCAACCTCCAAGGCTGACACTGGGCCCTATGACTTCATCCATGAACCTCCAGTACTTCTATATACTTGAGGTAAGTAAATTGTATCAAGTGTATCAGACCCACTGTCTGATGCTCATCATCCACCATGTAGATGAAACTTATATCTACATACATAATAATTGTGTATATTCTTGCTCAGGCCCTGGTCTTGTCTTGTGAAGTTGCGACCATTATATATGTTTAGTGGTATGCTGCTTGTATATTTTCCTTTGTTTTCTTTTCAAATGTCAAAAAACCCTGAAAACCTCAAATAAATTCATTTAACAAAACCCATCAAAATGAAGAGTTACTTTACTGAATGTTCTGATAGTCCCTCAGTAAAGTCATATCAGGTTAAAAGTAAAACAAAATATTTAGTAATTAAGCCACTGGTTACATCAAAGAAAACAGAACTCAATATTTTATGTGGACATTTATTTGACTATACAATAAGATGAATCAAGATGTAAAAGCATTTTGGACAAGAACTGCGTAGAATGTACTCAAACATGTTTCAATAACATAAATAAAATCACATATTCCACATAAATATGATGAAATGTCAGATTTTAAATGATGCTTTGATTACTTAAGTTCCTCACCTATTACCACAGACCGCAAGCATCTCCCAATTCTTGAAAAGTGTAGATTAATGATGGTTCGAGTTTCATGTTTGCCACAAATATCGAAAAAAATGACAAACAGAAAAGCTTCCACTCATCATCACTGTAAGCTAACAAAGGACTATTGTTCAGCACACATGTTAAATCTCAACATTGTGTAGGAAACAAAAAATGATGAACTATCATGGACAGATGTGAAAACTTACCCTTACAAGATATGATTGTGAAGGTTATTTGCTGCTGCTAGTGATAGATCTGACTGATGTACAGGCTCGGATAATATATAGGAGTAGCTTTGACATAAATCATGACTTGCAAAGTCCCTTAAATCACATCTGTCAGCCATACGTATGAGGCAAAATGGCCATTTGTTGATACATGCACTTCGCTCACAGATATGGCTCCAGGAGCTCAGATCTCACAACACAAAGAAAAATACACAATACACGGGAGCTACACAAAATACAAGAGACAGATCTTGATGAGTCAGAGACAGGCACAGCGCCATGCAAGAGTTACCTCCCAAGGGGAGGTAACTCTATAAAATGGTGCAACCACCCTTTTCTTTGAAGGGGTTGTCACTTGGCTTGCAGAATCCCTTAATGAGGACGTCATCCTCTGTGTGGGAGTCACAGTACTTGACAAGGTCCTCGATACATTGGGACACCCTCATGCGCGTGATCTGAGCCTCGCAGCGGAGCTGATCGATGAGGCGGCGTTGTTGTTGTAGACCTTCTTGTAATTTATTCATTCTCATATCAGCTGTAGAGAGACAATGCAAATCAGTATGAGCAACATTCACAATTTTTAAGAGAAAAGTTCAAATAAAAATGATTAAGAGACCAACTTCATAAAAATATATTATCCACCATGAGATGATATACAGAAAGTCTTCAACAAATCTTTTAAAGTGCCCTGAGTTAATAAACACAGAATTAATAAATTGTGCAGTGAAATCACAAAGAACAGTTGATAATCTTCATTATAAGTGATTACTTACCATAAAAAAAAAACATTAAAGAAAATCAACAATATACATTTCTGCTAAAAAGGCGATAAATTTCTGATGAAGATAGTAAAAAAGTTGGTGGCACCTTTTGCCAGTCTGCTGTGCAAAGTAGCCTTTTACATTTTGCTAATTTTTTAAAGTATGTGTTCAATGTCTATTTAGACCTGTGACTGAATACTGAAGAAACACATATGTTTTTGTATTTACTAAATGATATCTTGCTATTTATGTGAAGAAAAAGTATCTTACCCATGTTTTGCCTGAATCTGGAAGACAAAATTTTATTTGGTGTAATAAATGACCCCCCAAAATGAAAAACAAATCATGAATGGTATCATCAATCCACACTTTAAAGAATGGATTATGAGTTGATACACCATATTAAGCAAGATGACAGGTATATCATGGCAACATCTAAATAACTAAATTTGGAAAAGGCAAACTAGTGGTTGAGAATATGAGCACCAATGTCCATGTCATGGCGACATGACAACACCCAGTCAGCCAGGTCACACACACTGTATCTCCCAACTGTCGGTAGTTCTTATGACAAGTGAGTATGGTTTTACGCCACTTTTAGCAATATTCCAGCAATATCACAGCAGGGGACACCAGAAATGGGCTTCACACATCGTACCCATGTGGGGAATTGTCTTCGGCGTGAGGAGCGAATGCTTTAACCACTAGGCTACCCCACTGCCTGCTATGACAATAAACTGGGGACCTAGCCTGCTCTGGAATCCTCACAGGAACATTTCAAGATCAAGGAGTGTCAGGGACTTCAACAACAGGAGGCAAGTGTCATTGTGAGCATACTGGATGGTTTTTTTTTAAAATAATTTCAAAGTGGTAATACTTACGAGAAATGTTGTCACACACAGTTTGTGCTCTGAGACCCAGGCCTTACACCTGAAATGACAGAAAGCTCATTGATAATTCAACATCTCAATGTATGATCATCATGCAGAATGTGAAAAAGGAAATTCAGGCAAAACTAGGACTGAAAATGTCCACTGCAAACAGCCTCAGCATGCACATCACAGTGTTTATAAGAAAAAGAGTCCGCGAAAGACTATGGCTTCTTGCCATGGTTAGACGGGGATATCGTTACTGAGCTTTAACAAATTGAACCCATATGGTGAAACAAACCAGGCTTTTGGCAAGACTATCCGACACTTTAACCACTGTCAACAACCGTTCCTCACAATCAAGAACAAAGTCCAAGGTTCCTCATCATAAGGCTAACCAAACTGATGTTGAAAGCAAACTCAAGGGTTCTATATTCAAACACTGTAGCAGGAAATTACATGACCCTACAACCTTCCTCAATGTCAAACACTTAAGACTTAATGTCTTAACTTTTTATTTCCTCAAACAGCTGCCTGTCAATAGTTTCATGTCTGTACAAGAAACATGAGTGTTTACTTCATATTGAAGAAAACATCAAATATCCTCTATTGTGTCACTATATCGACCAAGCATTGTTGTTTCTATACACAAACAAACTTGTCCCTACCAAATGTTGATCCTCTGAAGGGATCACATCGCATAGGTGACAAAATGAGTCCCAGACTCACAGATAGACATGACAAAAACAGACCTTAAGATGTAATGTAAAAATAGTTCTTCTCTTCAATACAAACTACGCCTAAGACTTGGTTGCAGGTGTCATGTGAACTGTGATTCAGCAATTTGGTGTATTTCACATCACTTTCAACCTACATAGTTGCCATTATTTTGGGATGAGTCATATTTTGCTTACCAGATGTATATTTGTCAACTGTAGTTCATACAAACGCATTCAGGAAGCTGTGACGGATATTGTATATTTATATATATTGTGGTGGTGTGTGGTCTTGTGCATAGAGACCAGGTCACAAATCAGGTGAAGTTAAGTGACGCTGGTCATGGAGAGTCCTCGGATGGGTGACCATGTTTGGTAGCTTGACTCCTGAGAGTCCTCAGTCCTGCCCACAATGAAGCACATGTGACATTAGACTAAGGCTTAGTCTCTGAATATATATAATTTTGATAGTAACATACAAGCCCATTTAAATTGAAAAGGAGCCCCAGGGAGACCAGAGATTCAGAACCTGAGGAAATCTAGACTTGCTTTATTTAGGGCTTTAGCACTGCATAGAGGCTTGGCAGTAGGGAAAATAATGTGGTTCGGGGACTGTGAGACAGGCTAATGTGACATGTGTGGTCTCACATTATAGTGTGTTTGGCTCAAAAGTGGACCAATGATATTGCAACCTAACTCGAAAAATAATAAACATATAATACTCAATGAAATGCTGATCATAATCAAAACATCAGACCAACTCTGTGATTTATTTGCAGAATTTATGTCCTAAAAATAAAAAAGTTGTTTAACAAACTATCATTAAAATTTGGACACAGTTCACTTAGTGTTACGGGAAGAGTGCAGAGAAAGGGACAGCCAGGTATTCGAGCCGCATGTGCACAAGTGCCGACAAAGTTATTGATTTATTAACCTGTGTTGTGCCGTCTCCATCCTTTCTCGCACACCTGGCTGTTCCTTTCTTTGCACTCTTCCTTCAAAACACTTAGTGAACTGTGTCAATATTGTAATGATAGTTTGTTATGGCTCAATAATAAAAAAAATATACAGTGTATCATTATGACTGTTTACACAGCAAGGTGATGCTGTGGAGTAGTACAGTGATGTACGTCCCTGACACCAGCACGAACAGGTGTGTCTATCACCTGCCTGCCAGGTACCCAACACCTAGCCTAACAACAGCTGAAACACATGATATTGTCAACAGAATACTGGGTGAGTTTACACCGCTTTTAGCAATATTCCAGCAATATCACGGCAGGGGACACCAGAAATAGGCTCCACACATTGTACCCATGTGGGGAATCGAACCCAGGTCTTCGGCATGACGAGCGAACACTTAACAGAGAGACCTCCTATAATGTGGGACAACATGCCAACATGTCAAAACACCAAATTAATTACAAAACATACAAAAACAAATATCTTGGAGAAGCATTCTTTTTCTTAAGTCAACATTTGTTGGCATTGTGAATTAATGAGCAGAGTGGCCATCACGTGACCTGACATCATAGTGGAGAGTTGCTGCCTCAGTACATGAATAGTGCTGCTAACCAGCGTTCTCCATGGCATTACCACACAATAACACTGATGATAACGTTGTAATTTAGCACAATGACCATACATATATTTGTTCATCAATATGAGCAAATGGTTTGATGACTTAGTTTTGACAGTAGCATGAAAACTGAGGTAGATCTATCGGTGAAGACGATCAATCAGATGTCACTAGGTAAAGACTAGGCAAAAGAAAACTTTCGATAGAAATATACTATATCTAGGCTAGTTGTTATACAATGATACTGTTTAGGCTAGTTGTTATACAATGATACTGTTTAGGCTAGTTGTTATACAATGCTAGTTGTTATACAATGATACTGTTTAGGCTAGTTGTTATACAATGATACTGTTGAGGCTAGTTGTTATACAATGATACTATATCTAGGCTAGTTGTTATACAATGATACTGTTTAGGCTATTGTTATACAATGATACTGTCTAGGCCCTAGTTGTTATACAATGATACTGTTTAGACTAGTTGTTATACAATGATACTGTTTAGGCTAGTTGTTATACAATGATACTGTTTAGGCTAGTTGTTATACAATGATACCGTTTAGGCTAGTTGTTATACAATGATACTGTTTAAGGCTGGTTGTTATACAATGATACTGGTTAGGCTAGTTGTTATACAATGATACTATATCTAGGCTAGTTGTTATACAATGATACTGTCTAGGCTAGTTGTTATACAATGATACTGTTTAGACTAGTTGTTATACAATGATACTGTTTAGGCTGGTTGTTATACAATGATACTGTTTAGGCTAGTTGTTATACAATGATACTGTTTAGGCTAGTTGTGTTATACAATGATACTGTTTAGGCTGGTTGTTATACAATGATACTGTTTAGGCTAGTTGTTATACAATGATACTATATCTAGGCTAGTTGTTTATGCAAATGATACTGTCTAGGCTAGTTGTTATACAATGATACTGTTTAGGCTAGTTGTTATACAATGATACTGTCTAGGCTAGTTGTTATACAATGATACTATATCTAGGCTAGTTGTTATACAATGATACTGTTTAGGCTAGTTGTTATACAATGATACTGTCTAGGCTAGTTGTTATACAATGATACTGTCTAGGCTAGTTGTTATACAATGATACTGTTTAGGCTAGTTGTTATACAATGATACTGTTTAGGCTAGTTGTTATACAATGATACTGTTTAGGCTAGTTGTTATACAATGATACTGTTGAGGCTAGTTGTTATACAATGATACTATATCTAGGCTAGTTGTTATACAATGATACTGTTTAGGCTAGTTGTTATACAATGATACTGTCTAGGCTAGTTGTTATACAATGATACTGTTTAGACTAGTTGTTATACAATGATACTGTTTAGGCTAGTTGTTATACAATGATACTGTTTAGGCTAGTTGTTATACAATGATACTGTTTAGGCTAGTTGTTATACAATGATACTGTTTAGGCTAGTTGTTATACAAATGATACTGTTTAGGCTGGATTGTTATACAATGATACTATATCTAGGCTAGTTGTTATACAATGATACTGTCTAGGCTAGTTGTTATACAATGATACTGTTTAGGCTAGTTGTTATACAATGATACTGTTTAGGGCTAGTTGTTATACAATGATACTATATCTAGGCTAGTTGTTATACAATGATACTGTCTAGGCTAGTTGTTATACAATGATACTGTTTAGACTAGTTGTTATACAATGATACTGTTTAGGCTAGTTGTTATACAATGATACTGTTTAGGCTAGTTGTTATACAATGATACTGTTTAGGCTAGTTGTTATACAATGATACTGTTTAGGCTAGTTGTTATACAATGATACTGTTTAGGCTAGTTGTTATACAATGATACTATATCTAGGCTAGTTGTTTATACAATGATACTGTTTAGGCTAGTTGTTATACAATGATACTGTTTAGGCTAGTTGTTATACAATGATACTATATATAGGGCTAGTTGTTATACAATGATACTGTTAAGGCTAGTTGTTATACAATGATACTGTTTAGGCTAGTTGTTATACAATGATACTATATCTAGGCTAGTTGTTATACAATGATACTGTTTAGGCTAGTTGTTATACAATGATATGCTGTTTAGGCTAGTTGTTATACAATGATACTGTTTAGGCTAGTTGTTATACAATGATACTGTTTAGGCTAGTTGTTATACAATGATACTATATCTAGGCTAGTTGTTATACAATGATACTGTTTAGGCTAGTTGTTATACAATGATACTGTTTAGGCTAGTTGTTATACAATGATACTGTTTAGGCTAGTTGTTATACAATGATACCGTTTAGGCTAGTTGTTATACAATGATACCGTTTAAGATAGTTGTTTTACAATGATACTGTTTAGGATACAAATGTAGTTGTTTTACAATGATACTGTTTAGGATACAAATGTATACAATGATACTGTTTAAGATAGTTGTTTTACAATGATACTGTTTAGGATACAAATGTAGTTGTTTTACAATGATACCGTTTAAGATAGTTGTTTTACAATGATACTGTTTAGGATACAAATGTACTTGTTTTACAATGATACCGTTTAAGATAGTTGTTTTACAATGATACTGTTTAAGATAGTTGTTTTACAATGATACTGTTTAGGATACAAATGTACTTGTTTTACAATGATACCGTTTAAGATAGTTGTTTTACAATGATACTGTTTAGGATACAAATGTAGTTGTTTTACAATGATACTGTTTAGGATACAAATGTACTTGTTTTACAATGATACTGTTTAGGATAGTTCTTATACACTGACATTGTTTACTTACTTCCAACTAATATTATGTTCACGAAGTAAAAACTTGTTCATATATTTCTATTATTGATGTCTAACACAACTTTATTTATATCAGTTATGCTGACTTTATTTTAAAAAGGTGTATGTAAAGTATATGGTTCTGGGTATTAACCATTTCTATATGAATAAGTAAATGAGAAAAAAATCCACAAACAAATTATTTTTTAGTTATTTCCTAACCAATCCATTAATTCATTTTATAGTACAGGATCAAAAATATTTTCAAAATAGTCAAAACAAAAAGTGAATACATGTGGAAGTGAACTTATATTATAACTAAGGCTATACTTGATACCTAACACAGGCCTTTGTTCTGATACATCGCTGTAAGTTAACCCTACATCAACCTGTACGTCATCCAGAAATCCACACAAATCCTACACCATATTCACTGCATATTAATCCCACATGCAAATCCATAAATCCTACACCATATTCATTGCATATAAACCATTATTAACCCAACCTATGCATGTAATTTCATCATAAAACAACCATCGACTCCCAACTTACCTTAATCCAGTTCAAATGTCTATGTGGATGTTCTACTTGTGTGTGACCATTCAATGATTTATGACCAGTACACATGAAATAAACACATCAACAATCCATCACCAGGCTGTTGTCAATACCAGTCTCGGTGCCAGCTCCCACTAACATAGCAGGTGATAAAATGGGCTGGGTGATAAATGTTAAAAAGCCCTGTTGCCATGGCAACTGGGTATTACGCATGGTGTCTCATCCTGGTAGGTCAATCTGATAAGCATTACCAGGGCAGTGTCTCTGATTCTTGCTGAGCAATTAGACAGAAATCAATCAGATTATGGTGTGATTTAATCACTTGTGAGAAGGGGACCAATTGTAATTGTAGCACTGCTTGACTGACTTCAGATGTATCATGCTGAACTGGGAACTTATTTCCTTAATTTCAGAAGTATTTAATAGCTGGAATACAATGAATTCAAATTCATTGAATTGCCAGTAGTCATTTCCTTCCCTGTATTTATTTACATGTTTGCCAACATAAACCTCAATTTTATATTCTTCCTCGTTCATGTAAGAACTCACAAAGCAGCTCCATAAAAAGCAGAAATACTTTCAGAAACTGTGCTCAACTGGTGGTTACTTATTAAATACACTGCATGCGATACTGTGAAATGTCTACAAAAAAGGTCATGATATGGCTGAAATACTGCCGATGTAACTAAAATCCTAATTAACTCACTCACTCACTCTACAAATTATAATTCTGTCTTAATTCCCCACTTCTGTCAAATGAAAACTTGAAGTACCCTTGCATATTTTTATTCTTCACATAAGGAACAGGGTGTATTACTTTGAAACAACCTCTAACTGTGATTAGAACATACACATTACCTCTGTCCTTTTTCTGAATGGGTGGCTTTCTTATTTGACCTATGACCCTCTTTAAAAGTATTTTTGCATCTCCATGGTAACTGACTTTGGACCAATGTGGTCACTTTTGCCAATGTTCATGAGAAGACAAGGGTGTGACCCCTAACCTGCATTCTCCATGGCTGTATAGATGTGTGATGTCTGTTGTTGTTGGTGCCGATCAGTCAAAAATATTTACAGGAATTTGTAATCGGGAACTATAGTTAGTGCCGGCTCTGACCTCCTTCATACAGTGAGTCAGTCTAAATTTATGGCACATCAATATTATTTCAGCCATATAGCAACAAGACCAGGTCCACCCATACACAAAAGTCCATTTTTAGTACAAAGTTAAAAGGAATTTCTTTGTATACATACTTCATCATTCCAATAGGATTTATAATTAGAACACACCATAACACCAGATTTAGAAACAGGCAACTTGTCATACACATACATATTTACCATTTATGATACAGACAAATTTCACATGTCTCCTTCAAAGTGATTGATTTTGATGAAAGTCAAACCCATAATTATACATCATCTCTACATATTCTAATGGCTCTAAATCCATCTACATTTCTTGCTTGTCAACTTTACAATGGGTAAGGAATCCTACACTTCTCTTGGGAAGTCATATCATCTACTGGTGATGTAGGTGTTTGGGCAATATTATCACCTGTAGTCAGTCATCTTAACATGCAAACCATAATGAAATGTCTGTCATTTTCGTTCCTGAATTGGCAACAGCAAAGTATTTATGAAATAATATTGATCATTTGTTGACTATATCACAATATTGTACAAGGAAGTATATTTGTGATTGCAGTATAATGGGAATGTTTTGGTAACAGGTTGCAAAAAGGTTCTACCTTCAAAATATCTCTATGAATAATGATGAACGTGTTTCGTTAATCCACACTGACACAGACTGTTTTCACCACACAAAATCTAAACAGTCACTGATCGTAATAATGTTTACACTTTAAAAATGAAAAAGAATATGAACAATTGGATCCAAATGTGTTTTCATAATAACTGTTTTTTCATGATAAATACTACACAAAAAGACATATTATCTGATCATACAGATTCTGTTTTAGTCCTTTAAGAAAATGTGTTGCAAATTGCTTGCCATACACTTATAAAGAAACAGAAGGTCCACCTACACAATGGTTGGTCATTCATATGCTGGCACCTGGACGTCCACCATCTGCACTGGCATGTTTCACAACAAGGGACTGTCTCAATAACACTCCTTTCCCTATCACATTGAGGAATCTCATGTTTTCCATTCTCTATATTAGTAATGACTTCATGTACCTGTATGTATTATTTCTTAAAACTGATTGACAAAATAACTTTCACCCTAATCATGCTGATGACTACAATACCATAACTATCTTTATCTGACCAAATATCTTTGAGATGACCCCTCACTTCTGACCTGCTTTTAGCCCAATAGGGGGTGGTGTCTTTGTTTCCTGCCCAGCTTCTCATGCACAGCTGGTCTGGCAAGCCAAGGGCACAGGTGCTCTCACGGCCTTTGTGTGGTAATCGATGAATGGATTCAATGAGTTCACACCTCTTTGTTGATGTGATTCACACTCACTTCATCTCATCAACAAACCTTGTCTACTTCTCAACTGGTTTCATATTTCATAACATATCTGTCTTTCATAACTAGGTATTAATCTGCTGAAGGGGTTGTTGTCAGCACAGGTACTACTGATATTTACCCCTGGTACATTTCTGTATACAGAAACGTACCCTAAGCCAAGTCAAAATACAGAAACGTAAATGGGACGAGTCCATATTACAGAGTTAAAAAAAACCAAAAGCATATGTATAGTTGTTCTAGTTCAACTGATAGCTAGTGGTATTGTGCATCGCAAAATATTAATTACTATGTATGTTCGTTTCCTATATAATGCAATCAAATTCATCTAATATAACAGTATGACAGTTCCCATTCACTCTCCTACCCAGAGTTCCATGCGGCAAGCCAGCATAGTATCTCTTCCACAGGCCAGGAAAATGTGACGATTCGTCACATCTTGCACCGTCCATTCAATATAATTTACATATTTCTCAACTCTTTAATTTTTTACGAGTCTACACAACTCATTAAACATCTTTGATAGAATGGTTTAGTTTCATTTAGAAAATATCCTAACACATGTAACACTATTACGATTTGCGTAGCGATCCTTTGTTTACATAGGTTGTACGGCTCCACCTGCTGTCATCGAAGCTGATGGAGAGAAAACGATGCAGCCAGTTTGATATCTAAATATGTACTGTCATAGACCTTACTGTAGCAGTTGTGGAAGAATATATATGTAACAATGTAAAACATTATGAAGAGAGCGTAGAAAAGCTTTCTCTTCTTATTATGAATATATGCGTTTGATTACAAACAAGTGAAAAGTCTGGTCACCTGATATGCAAATTAGCCTGTGGCAGTGATGTTATGTTAAGTCATCGCTGTGGCGGAGTGTGAGTTCCCATTATGAAAACTGCACAATGCAGAATGGGCTCATCCCAGGATACATTTCTGTATTCTGATTGTGGCTTGGGTACAATCACATTACATCATAACACCTCTGTAGTACCCATGCTGACGATGACCCTTTCAGCATCAATACCTATGCATTGTAGTTGAAAATATTTAGAAGTTTATATAAAGTAATCATACGGTGAAACTTCCAAGCCAAAGTTGAACTCTGTTTACAGAAGTTTACACAGGTTAAAAATGCCTTTTTGATAGAATTTCGAGGCAGCACTAACTGAAAAGGTAAAAAAATTGCCATGCAGTTGAGTCCCACTAAGATGTACCAAATTCCATTTCATTTTTGATGCAAGTTTCATTAAACAATGGCCAAAACTGTTGTTATAGTAACTGTGAGTGCCTTATATATTTTTGGTATGATCCCCAGGGAGTTGAGATTGATAATATGAAGTGTCATTGAGACTGACATCCTATGATCAAGGGAAAAAACCCAAAGCACCTGTGAGCAGCCTAGCTGGAACTTGGCACTATATAAATAGATTATAATTTATCAACAACGAAATTCTTCTGAACACATTCTGCTGTGCCATGTCAACTACTTGAGGCAGTGTTTGATCAGATTTCCTTATGAACTTGGTAGAGGGAATGATTTCTTCACTAGGAATGGACTCACTACAGAGGAAAGTATATTGTGTATTTCCACACTGGAGTCATTTAGCTGAAAATAGTTACATGAATGTATGTTCTGAAAGATACCTTAAAAAGCAGTCCATCAAAAAAGAAAGATGATACCATCACAAATATGTTTAATATGCCAACATCACAACTACCTGGTTGGTTAACCAGCAGATCGTGTGTATGGTCAAAGGGGGACAACTCTATTTGAAAATTATTCAGTCAAGCTGAATCCATACAAGAGCACTAGTGAATGTTGTTCCAAAAATAGACAATGATAAAAACACTTGGGAAAATAAAAATACCGACTGAATTGTGCATATTCACCAAAGGACCCTTCTACAAATTGTGTCAAAGTACCTTCGATCAAGTGTGTCGACATCACCTTACCTTTCTAGTTGAGTTGGCTTGGGGTGTGTTGTATGTCTGTGTCCTCACCATGTCTAATGTTGTTGGAAATCCCATGTAAATAAATAATGTTGGACTGCAGTGTAACACTAAACCTGTGTTGCCAAAATAAGGATCCTGGCATGGACAAGAGGTGCTCTAATGAAGCTTAAGTCTCCCTTTGAGGGCCATAAGTGAAACACATTCTGAAAAACAACTGTTTTGTCACTGATGATCAACATTGTCAGGTTGTTTAATGTAGTAACTGCATCAAGGTATTCTTTATCTTATCAAATCTTCTTCCCATACTAGATACACTTTTATTCTTGCTAGAAAGGATTTTATTAATTTCTAACAACTGGTTGAGGTTTTCTTAGTTAAGTACATGATCTACATAGTACCACCGTTGCATGTCAGAGAATAACGTTTCAAATACCTTACACTATTGGAATTACTCAATAAGTAAAGTCGGAATATATTATATAGATATTCATCTACAATTTGAAAATTTGGAGCCAGAAGTCATTTTAGTTTTTATACTGTAGCATGATATATTTCTAAACAAACTTTTCGAAGCACATGTCTTCGCTATCTATGAACGGATTGACATGAAGCATCCATGCTTGATTGGTCTACCTACCAGCTTGCTCGTAATGATTAAAGATTGCTGTCACA